AAGGTCTCCTTCATGCCTTCAATTACATCGTTGATGACGCCGTTATAAAAAGCCGCCTAGAAATTAGGACTGCCAAAGAGATATTAAAAGGAATGCTTACTACATCCACCATTGAAAACCGAAACTACTGAGAGTGAATCTTGAGGTCTAATGGTGTTCAAGAGAATGCAGTTTTAGTCATTGTATCCAGATAGAAAAGACTTTTTAAAGGTTTAATTTTTTGTATTTTTTAAATAAATCACAAGCAATTTTAAATATACTATTTTTGTTTTTTTTGTAAAAACTTATTATAATAATAAAATTTCTTAAGTTTGTTTAATAAGTTATAATAATATAATTGTGTTGGTTTTTTTTGCTTGATTTTTGCCATGTCATGTTTTTGTTTTGATGCGCTGTGCTTTAATGTTGATGTTTGCCGCTGTGAATTTGTCTTGTGCTGTACCTTAGTTATTGCTTTTGAATGTAAGTAGTGTTTATGTTTGCATTCTGTGTAGGCAGCACGGTAGTGAATTCGTAAATTCGCCTCCTTCTTGGTCTTTACGTATGTTAAGTTTATTATTGAGTTTATTTTTAGTACATTTTAACTCGCGTATGCCTCAGGTGGGGCATTTTGTGTCTCCTGTCACTTTGTCGAGCCAACCGCTTTATTTTGGAAGTCCTGTTGTCCTTCCTCCTTCTCAGCTAACTGGTTCGCTTCCTTTAAGCGGCAACTTTAGCTCGCAAGCACCTGTGTCGGTTCCATTTCCCCCTCAGGATTTTACTAAACCTTCTATTCTTCATTCGGGTAGTCCCAAACTCATTGATAATACTGCGTCTGTACATGTTTCTCGCGAACATGTTGGTGTTCACAATGAGGTTAGAAGTGCTTCTCCCGGACCGACGGATACCATCATCAGCATTAAAAACTGGGTTGCCGTCAATCTTGAGGAGGATGGTGAGTGTCGTATTGCTGGGCACTCTACTAAGAGCGGTCAACTCATTTGTTCGGAGAGAATTATTTTCGTTAATGATCGTGGGAACGTTGTCTCTGATGGGAAAAACTTGTTTAAATTATGTGGGCCAATCTCCTGGGCGTTATATGAACTTCAGCATCCGCAGGCGGGGGAAATCAATCCCACACCACAGTTACGAAAGGCCTTTTCCAATGGATTTCCGCGCAAAAATAGAGGAAGCTGGATGAGAGCTTTGTACCGATTTCTCTTCCACTTGACTCGACGAAAGCCAAGTTCCGGCCCTACAGTAATTTCTTCCCTAGTTTTAGATTTAATTTTTACGCGAAGCGCTCGTTATTTTTACAATTCTTAACTAGTAGATCGAAGTCATTCTTCTTTTTTGCTTTTAACTTAATTTTTTTCTGCGTTCTAGGATCTAAAATCCATATCATCAATAGATGGGGTTAGGGATATGGATGAGTCGAATTTGGGGACAGATGTTGATGCAAGGTCGACTAGCACAATGGACTTGCCCTTCCTTGTTCTCAACTCGCGGAATCACAACTCCCGTGGAAGACGCCATTCTCCTCGCAAAAGGCGTTCCGAATCACCGGTGTGTGTGTGCACTGTTTCCTTTTTTATTTGTCTGGTCCTAAACTACATCATTTTGGCCTTCAGTTTCCCTCCAAAAGTTGCTACTCTGATTCTCCCTCTGGCACTGGGTCGATGGGGGACGATGATGACCCCATTCCGAGTGCATCGATCCTTTGTGAGATTGGCAATCGTAGCTTCCCTACTAAAGATAGACGAACTTCGGGATGGAGAGACCAAATTCATTCTTCATCTCCATTGACTGTTGAGACGGGAGTCCAAACTTCCAATGATTTTTCTTCGCCTCAATTGACGTTGGGGGCGTCGCTTGCTGGTAGAGTGGGTCGGCGCGATGTGGGGACAGAGACGAGCAGGACTAGAGAGCAGACTCCACTCTCCAACTGGATGGAAAAAGATATGCGGGTCAGTGTGTCTCGGTATTTTTATCGTCCCTCATCTCTGTTATGCTTTTTCAGTTGAATGTGGCCTTGAGGAACGCAGAAATTGAGTGTACGCCTTCACCGTCACCACCACCAAAGGCGTTGTCTCCTAAGTTACATTCCCACGGATCACACAGACGACATTCAGAGGAGGTCGGGGTTGGTCCGTCGTATTATTCAGCAAAGAAGTCGGTTGTTGTCGGCATGGATGGCCCAGAGTTTTTAAGTGAACAGGAAAATGATATGGTGGCAGGCGGCTCTAGACGTCACTCTCATCCTCAGTGGCGGTTGAAGGAATCAGGCCAATCAAGAAGAGCACCACACGTGAGTGCTCTTCTAGCTTTCGTCCAAGTTTAGCATATTAAGTCAGAATGGGTTGTCTCCACTACTCAAATGGATTGCTTGTTTCTTAAGTCTTTTTTATGAACATTTGTGACTTTGGAATTTAAGTTTGTTTCGACTTCAAGGCTTTATCAATTCTTGCACAAAAAGTTGAATTTCAGTAGTATATTGATGTGCCAGCACTTCAGTTAGCCGATTTCATAAGGTTTCAGTGTTGATTTTGAAGTCGTTAGAACTTTTTCTTATTCTACACGGAGACCTTCGATGGTATTTATATTCGTATCGAGGATTGTACTGTGGGCTTCACTTTCAATGGAGCTAGAGCCGAATAGACGGTCTGCCTCCTGGAGGGGTTAGTGGCGGTTGGCCTGCCTTCACCCTTCGAGGTCGGTGGCATTTTTGGCGCCAACATGAAGCCTACTAACTGTGGATAAGAGTTTGACTTATTTTTTCCAATAAATGATAAAGCGGTGCTCTATTGGCTTTTAGTTTTACTTAATTTCATTTCTTCCACAGATTTACTTTTGTTTTGCTTTTGGGTTCTACCGTTCTTGTTCCTCTCCTTGGCTTTCATTATCAGCGATTGGGATAAGACATAAAACGCACTTTTAATCACTCACCAGCGATGCTCTATCTTGTCAAAATTTGTGCATTTCCTTGCACTCGCTCGTCATATCGGCTGGAAGAAACATTTGGAGACAGCAAAATGTATATTTTGGCAAGATTAGTTGTACTTTGAATGTAATTCTACAGCTTAATCATCTCGCTTGGATACTAGTCAATGGTCTTTTGTTATCGTCCTCTTGCACCTTAAAACGAATCAATCTGCACGATGCTGCGATGGTTAATTCTTCATCCAGGCTCACAGGAATCTAGGTTTAATGTCCACTTGATGGAATCGCAAAAAATTCGAAATGCTTTAATCATGTTATGTTGCTTATATCTGAGGTGTTTGTACTTCTCGTTGACAGAATTCCCGATACTCGCTGCGCCATCGCTTTGTGAAAAAGGGGCACATGAAGTCGGGAAGTAAGGCGGCTCCCGCTTCCTCTGCGTTAAATCGTAAAATTCACAGCCGCAGTCGTGAGTCCCGGCACAGTGGACATTACAAACACCATCAGCTAGAACGGCAACAGGCTAAAGGCCAAACATTGGATCGGCGCCACCAACTCATAACACAGCTAGGTGAGTCCTTTTGTTCACTCGGTTTGTATGCGGGAGAGGCGAGATTATCTACATCTTTTCTGTCCCAGGTGTTGTGGATGTGCGGGACCTAAAAAGGACGCGCTCAGGTCGGTTGAGTGTCCCCACCCGAGACACTTGGCATCGACAAAAACTAGTCTTTGATGGCGCCGATATCAGCGTAGATCATGGGGAGTACGGGAAGGTGAGCTGAACTAAAGCATCCTTACCATTTTTCATGGGTGATGTATTTATCTACTCTATCTCATTAACTTTATCGATGTCAATTCTTTGGTATGTTCTGCCTACAGTTGGGGCATTTTTTTAGATTCCCCTAACGGGTTTCATCTTAAACAGTAGTTGAGCGGTATTTCATCCTTCTAAATTTCTTTAAATATTTTTTAGTCCATGTTGGTGTTTGCGGTAAAATCCATATTTTACGTCTCCTGTCAAGTAATGCGCTATTCAGCAGGTTGTATCATACGGCTGTTGGCATTTGCAGTGAAACTTGAGGTGCGTCAAGTGTTTTCAGTTTTATCTTTCGAAGGAATGTACTGTCTAACTGGGATATCCCTCGACTAATATTGAGGACGTTTTCTGACGTCTTGCCAACATTAATGAACATGCATATCGGTGACTGTTGGTCGTCAGTCCATTTCCATCGGCCGTATCTCTCGACACTTCCCTTTAGTTCTAGAGCTCTTCATGTCTTTCTCGACAGATTCCATCTTTGGGGTGATTTTGAACCTTCGTTTTTTAATGAATTGGAATATGATTAGTCGCGATTTTCTTGCCAGTACATGTCACCGGTTTCACTTCCTTACAAGTTCGGATAGTCTTGGCTTTTCATAATTGTTAGGATTATAAAATTCTCTTGTAGGGGTCTCATTTTCTCCAACGAATTTCACTTTAAACAATAGTTCCTTCATGTTCTCGGACATGCCTTTTTGGTTCTTTTGGATCTGTTTGGACGGCTAGCTGAATATTCTGTTCGTTTTTTGATATTGGGAATGCGATTCCACTTTTCTCCATTTTCTCATTCTTGGTCGGTGACTTGAGATTGTTGCTATCCTTCTATGGAGGCGCAACTTAGCTTTTATCGTGATACTTGCTCCCGCTGTTTCAATCTCACCTTTGGTGCTTTGGGCTGTTGAGACCACTTTTTGTAAGATGTTCCTATTAATCTGTGAACTTACACTAGGTACCGATGATGAGTTGAATCCGTTGGTATTAATTGGACTTTAAAATTGCTTCAGGAATGCTTCTCTAGATGGAATGGATTTAAAGTTGTGACCAATCAACCCTTATTGTCTCTTGAGGATGACCCTCCAACTATGTTGAAAGTGTTGGCTGTTTTCTGTATTGGTTCATGGTATTATTACAGCAAATCGCAGGTCGCATCTCCGACAAAAGTTTACTCTCAAGACGTAAGGGTGATGGATGCTCTCTCTGAGCTCAATCTAACCTTCGAAAGGCCTGCGTTGGGTTGGGTCTTCACATTCTTATCAAAAGCGTCAGATGCAGGGAAAAGTGGTTAGAGAATGAGCTGAAGTAGTAGCATTTGATAACTGGAAAACATGCATTTTGGTGCCTCTATTTGTCGGCCTAGAGTCAAGCTTATTCTCACTTGGAGGAATTTTTCAATTGTTTATGAGCTGATACTTTCAAGCCTCTTTTCTCCTTTGCAGTACTTCTCCAGCATGATAAACGACTAGATCGACGAGAATCCAGCTTGTACAGTACCCTACGTGCCGGTGACAACTCCTTTACAACTCTGTAAATAGAGTTTTCATAATCTTGTTCGTTGAGTTGGCTCATTGTCTTTGTTGGTGCAGATGGCTTGCAATAGACTTGGCTCTTTGGAGGGAATTCATGGCTTATTGAATGACTACTTACGTTTGCCCGGGTCCGGTTGCTTGCATTATAATTTGGAGAGGAATAGGCATGGGGAAATGCAGGGAAACATCTTGCTTCAAGAAATCGTCTAGTGGAGGGAAGCAAATAACTAGGTTGGGGTGGGGCGGGTCAAGCCCTTGTGTTCTGTCGACTCCGTTGGTCTGAGGGGTGACGTTGAGTTGGTCGTTCCATTGGCTACCTTTGAGCCAATCAGGTGCGAGTGCCTTCACAATGAGGTGGGAATTAGCCTACTTTGGCGACGTAGAGGTAAGGTCGTGCCAACGCGGAACGAAGTATCAATGGTCAAGTTTCGTCAGGTCTCATTTCTAATTTAATTTTTATAGGGCAAGTCTGACCTGATCAGAGGGAGTATTACAAGTTTGGTTTTTGTAATTGTTCCTCCTAAGCTGAGTATTGCGTCACGTTTGAAGGCTCCTGAGTCGGATAACTGGTATAGGCATGATAAGGCAGCGATTGAACGGACTTTCTGGTCTATATAATGTGGAGCTAGCATCTGTTGTTGGTTGATTTGGAGATTTATTTATGCTTGAGTTTCACTCATGTCCGACTTGTGCAATATAATGATAAAGTTACCAAAGGGGATTTGATCATGATGAGGATTATTCCGTTTTTCTGTACTTCCACAATGCTACAGTAGAGGTAGTGGAGTCGCTGGATCTCCGCTACCACACACTATTGAAGAAACAGCATAAATGTTGTCGCGTTTATTCCCCGCTGAAGGGTCTGTGAGGAAATGTGAGGTAGGACTCATCGAATGAATAGCCTCAAGGAGTGTGTTCTGGCATTTTGGTTTTCAGAGGTACAACTGCTCGATGTAGCACTGTATTCACGAATGGAATGGAAAAAGCGATAGCTATCAACTAATTCTAGCGATTAAAAGCCACATAGCAAATGAGGTGTAAGGTTGGGAACAAAGACCAGGACACAATTGAGGGTGGATGATGTCAACTTCTTCTTGGGTCTACCTTATGGAGGTAAATTTTTTGAGGATTCTTATCCTATTGGTCTGAGGGTAAGCATGCGCAGAACTTGGGGCTGTTTAATGCCTGAGATCATAGTTGATAAGTTGCAAGGCGGTGAGGGGTGCGAGATTGCCCCTACCATACGCACGACACGGACGAAGGGAGATGACCCGCCTTTTATGTAGGTACAGAGCAACTGAAGAATCGTACAATTTGTCCACATGGGAGAGCGAATAATTCGGTGACCATTAATAACTATTCTGAATCGTAGTATGTACTTTCATCTCCGAATTGATGCGAATGAATCCGAAGTGCGATGAATCCAGAACATTTATTAATGACAGCCAAGTATGATGCAGATTTGTTTAGGCTCACCTTCGAGAAGTGGAATAGGCTGGTAAACTCGAGTCGCACTGGTGAATTGACACCAACTTCTTCTGAGGGATGACCGTGCCTAACCAGCTCACTTACTGCAAGGAAATGAATACTGAGAAAAAAGGCCAGCAGACCTCCCCTTCCTTCAAAAATGGCATGAACTTTGCAGGAAAGGCTATGATTGCAAATTTTAACCTTTGGTTATGCCTCTCGTTCTGATCATCGGGAAATAGTTTTGCCTTGGAGGCAGATGATCTTCATTCCGCTACGCGGGTTGTCATTTTCATTTCTACTTCTCGTTTCAGCATGTCATTCCGAGGGTTGCACCTACTTATCGGTGTCTAAACTTGACAGGAAATTGCAAAGTTTAGACCTCCTAAATTCCTAAGCCGTCATACTATTCGTGAGGGGAAGAGGGGTGTAATATTAATGGCCTTGGCATAGCAAAATGCCACTGCTCCCTACTGTGGCGATCAGTGAGTCTGCGTGGTCATATTGTGACACTCATTCTTTCTTGAAGGCCAGTACATCAAGGCAGATGTTTAGAAGGGCTGGGAAGGGGTACTGGCCACTGGTTCGGCGGTCATACCAACGTGATGAAGTGTAAAATTGAGAATGTGTTTTGCGTAGTCCAAGACCCAGGTAGAAATGAGGAACCGACAAAGCGTTTCCTTTTGGTCTCCAGTTCTATGCATCATTTGGCAGGCAGAGTGCGACGGCGGTAAAACCTGTGTTCCTGAGACTTGATACCAAAATGTAATTCGTACCCCTAAGAGGCAAAAAACTAATGTCGGGTGTTGTGCAACCCTCCAACATTACAACAAAAGTTCTTCGTGGCAATGCTAACATCTTTCAGGCGTGTAGGCGGACAGTTTTACTTTGTTGCTTCCAGCGGGGTTTATATAAAAATGAAATGATCAGTTATCCTCAGGGCGAATATTGGCAGTAGAGCAGGAATGGAATTACGTCAACCGCTTGCCGATGAATGAATGAGAATGGTGATCCTCTAGGGAACGTCTGTTAGCAGGTCACCCTGCGCCCAACCACTAGTCGATTAATTGAAAACACGTTCCTTGCCCTGAATATGTCCAACTTTAGATCAATTTGTGGTTTACGGGACAACTCCGAGTCCACACCATAGCTTAGCACGTTGACGATCAACACAGACACAAAACAATATTTCAGTAGAAATAAGAAACTCCTTCAACTGTTGGACCAATAGACTTGCATTCATCCTGGTCTTCCATACCATATATCCAAAGTCAGTAAACGACGTAGAAGAGAAGAATTCTATTTGTCTAATTGTTTGGGGGCGGTATGTACATGCACAACTAGAAACATGGAAAAATAACGAAGGAAAAACAGTAAATATGTACAAAATCAACATACACCCACATCCCACAAAAGAGAAGGAGAACGGGCAATAGAAGAGAGCCACAAAATCAGAGGATATCACAGGTTTCGATGGCACAACCCTTCCTCTTTGTGGACTTCTGAGCCATCTACAAAGTGACAAGAGATTCATTCATGGATAAAACCACGACTGGAGTTAAACCCAACCTTGGGACTTTGTGGACAGAAAGAACAGGTCTAGTTAAACCGTTTGTGCCAAAGTAACGCAACACAAATACTCAATGCATGCTGCAAGCCGCAAAAATTGACAAACTTAAAGATGTTGGAACAGATTTTTGAGGTTAATAAAAAAAGATGTCCTGCCTCATCATCTCTCCCATGCCCCTTCCATCTCTCTCCAACACAACATCCATATGACCAACTTCCATATAAAATGGAAAATATGAATGTACGGTAGAAAATCAGCACCACTTGAGCACCTCAGAAGAGGGAAACGCAAAAAAAGTTAAATCGGTTGAAGAACATCGCCTCGTTTGAGAAGGCATAGTGAATGTATCAACGATTAGAAGGCCAGCATGACAATAGAAAAAGGCTTGCAAACAGTCGGGTGGGCGTATTCTGACTCGAAAGCAAAGTGGAAAAGAAAAGATCGTTGCAACACCTGCACGGGAACAAGTCCAAATCAGTGCTATTGTGTAAGCTAATGAAGAAATTGGAGGGAGGAGAAATACTTCGAACAAAGGAATGGGCAATTCAGCGATTGACAAATTGTTCAAACTGCATGGAATTTTTGAATAGACTTGCGAAATTGGACAGTCTCTTGTAGCCATAAGCATAAAAAGGCAAAAGTCATACACAGGGATAAGTTATGCAAGTTCAAGATCGTTCTTTAAATCAGGCGCCTTATAAATGCAAAAAATCGCAGGACCATGGAATTTGCAAGTGTCCGAAGACGTCAATAGATCTTTTTGACGTCGGTAATGGCCAACTAGACAAGATGAAAAGTGACGAAATTCAACAACATTCATCCTAGTAAGGTACAACAACGGAGAGATGTTATTAAGCATTGCACCGTAAATACAGTCCTAAAGGAAAGGCATATTTCTCACCTTTCAACGCCAACTTCTGACTGGCAAGAAGTTGGCTTTCCTCACAATTTGACCATTCACACAGAAATAAAACATTTTACCAAGACGGCGTTACCTTAGCCATGCCTTGTTCCTTCCTCCACCACACTTCTCGCTTCCTTCCCAAACTCCCGAAGCATCCTCACATCTGGTCTGACGCTGTCCTCACTCCTCATGTGCAGCAACACCACCAATTTTGTCACAAGGACTGAACTGACGCTGACTGACTGACTGACTGAATTGCTCCAAATTGCCCTCCCACCACTCTGCTATTGCATCGTCTAATGTGTGCACTCTCGCGATGGTCAACGCAAATGTAGACGTAGACGAAGACGAAGACACAGACGCAGTTGCAGCTGCAGATGCAAACGTGGGTGAGGTTGGTTCAGGAGTCTACCAGACTCCCAACCCTCACTACTTGGTCCCTACTCGGGTAAGGCGACACCACTTCCTCCACATTGTCTCAGTCCACACAACTTCTAACACACCCATTGATAGTGTGTGTGATTGTGTGTGGGTGGGTGTGCACGCGTTCGTAATGCAGTGCTGGAGGAGTTCGCGTCCCCTCGTCTGCACACCATTGTGCAGACAACCGATATCAGTGGTGTCGCAGCTATGTTGCAGAGGCAGCACACACCGACGCTGAAGTCACGTGTTTCGTGTGTGTAGAGGTCGGGAGTAAGGGTGTGAGAAAGGGAGTGAAGAGGAAGGGGAGGGGAGGGGAGGGAGGGAGGGCGCCTGTTAGCGACACGCATTTTTTTGCGTGAGAAGACCGAAAGCACCACAATCCAATTTGCATACCTCTCAGTGGTGGCACCATCTTCCTTCACTTCCTCATGCTCCACACTTCGCCCCTCGAAGAGCATCACATCATCATCACCACCTCCACTACTACTACACTACTACTAGCAGCATTGCATGCAGAAGAGGTTGCTGTTGTTATCTCACCAACACACCGCATTGAATGCGTCTATTGGTTACTCAAATCGCAGTCAGCAGAAGCACGAAAGTATGCTGGATGGCTGTGAGCAGCAACAATTGTGATGTGCACACAAGGCATGGCATTGGAAGCGGTTGTTGAGTTGTGATTGGGAGGATGAGCAACTCTAAAATGGTTGTACTTGTGCTCTCAACGGACTGAAGTCCTCCTCACCGTAGCGGATCCATTACAATGAAAAGCTATTTTGATGCTCAACACCAAGACCGTCAAGAAGGAGTGTAACTCCATCATCTCAGCATTCAACTTAACCTTTTCTTACCAGGCATTACTTCGCCTTCCCTTCGCCACTGTTTGTATCCGATATTCCAACCTGGTGCCTGTTTCCTTTCTCCTTACAATTAATCATGGCATTTCTTGCCTTGATCTGCTATAACGAAGGTGCTACATCAGTTGCTCACTTCCCTTTGTTTATAAGGAGTCGAACGGGAGGAAATGGGGTTAGTTGCTCAGCATGTGCTACACACAAAAGCACCGATCCATCAAGGGCAAGTCTTTATGACTATTTCATTCAGGAATTTTCATGGCCTTCTTAAGTGAAAGCGCTATCGAATCCCATTCGCCCATTATTTTACTCCTTTATAGTGATATTTGCATGCCGCTGCTTCCTGTCAGAAGAAGCAAATGAACAGTCGTAGAAATTTTTAGATGACACCGATACACCTCTGTGGTTTCCAAACTCATCCTCTTGAAGCTCCGTCTTTTGGTGTGTTCAAGTGTTCCTCCAAAGTCAAAGTTCAAACATTTCCGCACACTTATAGCTCCAAAAGACGGGTTTATCGAAGAATGCCAGTTTCCTTTTTACCAATTTCAATTCCTTAATGTTGGACTGTGTTGCACTCAGTCACCCGACTTTGCTACTACTTCTTCTAAATCAAGACTTATAATCAGCACGATGTGACATGTTAGCCGCCCAGAAAATTGGTCCAACTATCAGTCACACGTCGGAGGTGAGCACAAACTTGTGAAACTGTCTGCAACTAATGGCACATTTGCATGCGTTCATATTTTACGGACATTCAATTCATGGAAAGTGTTTACACCAATTCGTACACTGAAACAAAAAACTGACATATTTCAAAGCAGTAACTAAAATGCAAGATGCTTTTAATTCGAAGCAAAAAAAAGAAGGAATAATAAAGAAATTAAAGTTGTGGTGACCGGTTTTTGTTCTGAGGTGTTAAGTCACAGAGCGCTACGGCACCTTCATGCTAAGCAATTGGCTTAGTTAATGGGCTTCGTCATTTTCGTTTAACAATCTTGAAGATAAATGTTTCAATCTGAAAATTTGTCAAATAAAACTTCAGAGATGTTTGCCCATTCCATAGACGCAATTATTAAATGCTTCACATGACAGTTCTACAGCGATTGTCATGAGAAAATGGAAGCACTAAAAGTCCTCCTATAGGTAACAATTCAAAAAAACTGAAACCACAAAGAGGAAAGGTCAAATTGAGCGCTGAAAGTAATGCTTTTCTTCATTGCTTTCTTTCAATCTTGTTTGAATTACAAACTTTGGTAGAATCATTGGAAGATGGTCAAACAAACAAATAGTTTCAAATCATATCGCTGACACTGACTTGCCTAAAGATAGAATTCGGAATTAGGCCAGTGTGGTTTCGTTATTTATGGAAATGGTGATTTACTATGCAAAAGCACAATCAAATGCGCCTTCAGTGGCAAGTGGAATGATATTCTCCACACATAAGCGTGAATGTCAAAGAAAATGAACCGATCGCCCAATCTTCCGCATTGTCAACCGCAACGACTCGGTGTGACTTGTAGAAACAAGATTCGAGTCAAGGTAGATGATAGAAAAAAGTACCGCCTGGGCATGGTAACCAGGATCCGGTCGGATGCATTGTTTTGTGGGAGAAGGTATGGATAAGCATCAAAAGATGAGGAAAAATAAGCTACCAAAGCGAGTATTTGGTCGTGGTTCCCTTCTTCCATGCTAGAACAATAAGTGATACACTTTGAGTAAGTGATTTGCAGTAAATTGTGCAATCAAAACGACTATTCCCAAAACATTCACTCACTACTCATCCACCACAGCTTCTAAAACCACTTCATTCACCAGAAGGCAAGGACTTTTCAGACGTTAATGTCGAGAGGGAAGAGAGCGATAAAAACTATCAAGGCAAGGGAAATGACCAAATAGCAAATGAAGCATCACTCGAAGAAATTCGTACATCAAAAGCCTGTGCAAATTATTATAATCAAATCGTACCTGTAGAACCACTTCTCGAAAAACATCCATAACACCTTCTCCCGTTTTTGCCGAGGTCTCCACGAAGGCACAGCAACCCCATCGCCTTGCTGCTGCATCTCCATCGGCTTTAGCAACCTCACGATGTCCTACTGAGGTTAGGTCTGACTTATTACCTGCCAACACAATTGGAGGTAACGCTGGCAATGCCGTCGACTTTGCCGTTTTGGACTGGCGAGAAGGCGCCTTAGCCTTAAAGCGAAGGATCTGTTGATGCACTGCCTCTAGATCAAGGAGACTCTGCAGTGAAGCAACGCTGTACACAAGTACAAAGCCCTGGCCATTGCGAATGTAGAGATCTTGAAGTGAGGAGAACTGCTCGCTGCCTGCCGTATCGAGAATCTCCAACATGCACGCCTTACCATTCACTCTGTATCAAAGGCATTAAGAAAAACAAAAGAATTAGCTGAAGATTTGTGTCAAGGAAAGGGGCAAACTTACAAATATCGGCTTATGTGGGCACCTCCAAGCACCGAACACCACAGTCCAGTCATCATGGTGAGACAATTAAATCGGTCACCTACTTCATGACAGAGCATGGAATATTTACCTGATCTGCAAAATTTTCACAGAGGTTTAATGCTTTCTCACAAGAAATGTACCTAACAAGACTACATTATAAAAGTGCTGATAAGACTGGATTTGCATAAAATATTAGGAGGGAGAGAAAGTCTGCAATGCATCAAATTGTTTGCCACCAAGTCAGCTATGAACTCCAAACCGCCGCAACGCTGAAGTGATAAAAGTACCTCCTCCATCACATTCAACAGATGCTTGTTTGGAGAGCGATAGAGATTCAACACGCATGGCCTCTCAGTTTCAGTCAAAACAAAAAAAAATTGAAATATCCCCCAACACTCAACGAAGCTTTCCCATCCACACAAGTCGCCATATTGACTGTAGAACATGAACGAATGCCACTAACAATTGAACCAAGACTGGAGGCAACGCGAATCCTATCTTTTTAGATCCATTTTAACAGGAGCACAAATTTATTGCAACTGTCATGGAACATGGGGGACTGTACTCCTTAGAATTGGATGAAAAAAAGTGTTTGTTGTAATACGAAAAACCGAATTACTGCATATTGAAGCCCCGAGGCACGATGGATCAAATAACATCAGCCAGATAGCGAAGAAAAGTAAGTCTAAAACAGGAGTGAAGGAGATTCCACAAGTAATGCATGATATTTGTTTCCATAATACTTATTAATTCAATTAATTAGCAGTAAATTGCTCAACTATGGCACATTAAGGTGAAAGCACGCCAAATTCACATTTGTGCGCCACATTTTCCTACCTTATTTTCTCTATAAACACAAAACTCAGCTGTCGACAGCCACTTGGTGGAGTTAATGAATAAGGAGTAGATGAAAGGCGTGACAGCCTCAGACACTAATAAACAAAACGCCCCAATAAATGATGTTATAGAGCCATTTAAACAGAGTACAACAATGTTTAAGAAACTCGCAGACGGATCGTAAAATAATGTCTGCATGTAGAAGTTTAAGAGGCCCATACGACTGTGAATCGCTCCAAGAGGACAAATGCAATTGTGTATGAAAGAGTTAAATGTTCAAACAAGTAAGCATAAACAAAACAGTACTTCACCAGCGGTGAGGAGGACTTCAGTCCGTTGAGAACACAAGTACAACCATTTTAGAGTTGCTTTTCCTCCCAATCACCACTCAACAACCGCTTCCAATGCCATGCCTTGTGTGCACATCACAATTGTTGCTGCTCACAGCCATCCAGCATACTTTTGTGCTTCTGCTGACTGCGATTTGAGTAACCAATAGACGCATTCAATGTGGTGTGTTGCTGAGATAACAACAACAACAACCTCTTCTGCATGCAATGCTGCTAGTAGTAGTGTAGTAGTAGTGGAGGTGGTGATGATGATGTGATGCTCTTCGAGGGGCGAAGTGTGGAGCATGAGGAAGTGAAGGAAGATGGTGCCACCACTGAGAGGTATGCAAATTGGATTGTGGTGCTTTCGGTCTTCTCACGCAAAAAAAAATGCGTGTCGCTAACATGCGCCCTCCCTCCCTCCTTCCCTCCCCTCCCCTCCCCTCCCCTCCCATCCCTTCACCTTCCTCTTCACTCCCTTTCTCACACCCTTACTCCCGACCTCCACGCCCACGG